GCATGCATGTGCACGCTCGAGGAGACACAGTGATGGGCCACACAGAGAAGGCCCAACATTTACAACACCCAGGATCAGTCACACAAGCACAGCCGCGGCACACGCTAACCTTCATGTGGATGGTAGGATTCAGCATGTCAATACAGCCGTGGAAACCCACCGATATCACAGCCAGTGGTCAGATTCTGGCCTCACCTTCACCTCTCAGCCCAATTTAACATAGCTGATCACATCCTGGTCCTGACCAGGTCCCGCCACCTTCGTCTCGCTCCTCGCTGACTCCTCCTCCACAGAACCCCTCAATGTTGGAGCACCCAGAGCTCAGGCTTCAGACCCCTTCTCTTCTATCTTTGTCTGCAGGTGATCTTACCTACTCCCAGGGTGTTCTATCCATCCTGGGTGTTGAGGACTCACAAACACATTTCCAGCCCGGACTCCTCGGGGCTCCACCTATCTACCTGACACCTCCACCTGGATATCTACTGGACATCTCAAATCTATCTAACATAAAACTCAGATTACCCAAAACCTGCTCCCCACCACAGCTGTCCTCAGGCGCCCGGGCCCAATACCAAGCAGTTGTCCTGTATTCCCTTCCTCACGTCCACATCCCATGCAGGAAGTCCTGTTGACACTCCCTTCAGAATACTGCCTGAACCTGATCCTGTCTCACCTCCTCCACTGCCCATCTCAGTCCATGCCCCTGGCCACTGCTGGCCTGGATGGCCGCCAGCCTGCCCACTGCTCTGTCCCACATGGCCCATCACACGCTGAGCCCCTACAGGGATCTCTCCAAAGTGGATCACAGAACCATGACATTCCTGATTAAAACCCCAGGGGCTCCCCACAACACAGTAACATCTAAGCTCCTCCACAGGGCCCACAGCCTCTGCGCGATCACCCCATCACCCCCTCGTGCCTCTCCACCCCTGGAACAGGTGCTCCAGGACACTCTACCTTAGGGCCCTTGTCCTCCTTCCTGCCCAACACTTGCCCCAGATCCTAGTATGTATGGCTGCCCCTCCTCGGGACCCAGCTCTCACTTCACATGTCCCCCTCAGCAGCTGCCCAGGTGTTCTCCATCACATTTCCCTATTCCATCCTCTGAGCACTTGGCAGCACCCTAGGTTCCCTTCTTCACGTATTGTCCAGCAGTACCTTAGTGTCAGGCAAATCTTTGCCCATGAGGGCAAAGAGTTATGTCTGTTCTGTTCACTACTGAACCCCCATTATTAGGAAGTGCTAAGCACAGTGCTCAGTTAGCATTTGTTGACTAGCGGCTCTATGGATTTATACGCAGACACACCCACCCCCACAAAAATGCTCAAGCAGATACAACACGAAAATAGACACACAAATATACAGATATGCGCACCACCACCACCACATGCTCACAAAACAGACTCAACAGCCACAAAGACACCCAGGAATCCTTTTCCCACCCCCATGGGAACCAGTCCTAGTTCTTTCTCCATCTAGATCTGCCCTCTGCTTGAACCCCGTCTCAGGACTTGGAGTGAGGGTCTCCAGCCTGGACAGAAAGCGGGGGTCACTGGCCCACAGGCTTCAGGCAGTGCCTTCAGCTATGTCTGCAATTTCCTCTCCCCCCTTCCTTCCCTCCTCCTCCCTAAGGCTCCCGCCAAGAAGGCCTCCCCCTCACCCCAGCCCCAGCACAGGAAGGGGGGCCCACAAAGGGGGGCTGAGAGTCTAGGCAGGAAGAAGACCCAGGCCCACACACTGATCACACTACACATTGCACGCATGAGCCCTGAGCCCATGTGGAAATGCGTGTGCATGGCAGGCTTAGCCAGGAGGCAAAGGCATCTTTGCTACACACTCTGGTGCAGAACACAGGGACCAGCAGAGGCCACAGGCTGGGTTCTGCAAGGCTGGCCCGGGGCCTGGCTGGAAGCCCGAGTCCAGCATTCATTAACCCTGCTGACCCAGCTCCGCCAGCTGGACACACTCACCGCCTGGGCCCTAGGAGGAGGGAATGAGAATCACTTCCCTCGATTGTGGATTGAGCCTCTGGGGGAGAGCTGACACATGGGCTGGGGGAGAGGGGCAGTCTTCCCTGGGCAAGTGGGGCTCCTGGGAGGAAGAGCAAGGCATAGGCATGGGGTTAAGAGCCCAGCCAGGTTCTAGGGTCAGAGGGCAGTGGGTTCAAATCTTGACCGTTTGATAGTTTATCAATCGCTCCGTGACTCGGTTTACTTATCTGCCAAGTGAGCATAATGGCGCCGCATTATAGAATTATTAGAAAGATTAACTGGAAGAATACTGTAAAGGATTTAGCCCACTGCTTGGCACCTCAGCAGAACTCCATCCTCCTCGTTATTATTATTGTTGTTACTAGTTGCCTGGGGGCGGGCCCCTGGAACCCGTCTCCCCAGCCGCTTCCTGCGGGGGAGCAGACGCCCCGCAGGCTCGTTCCCCTCCTCTCCCCTTCCTCTGCCGGCCCTTTTCCTCCCCGCCTCCCCCGCCCCGCCCCGCCGCGTCCCGTCCCTCCTCTTTCCTCCGAGGAAACTTTCCGCCGGCTGGTCCATCGGCCCGTGTCCGGCCCGCGCTGCCGCGGCCTGGGAGCCGAGCGGGACGGGCGGCTCCGGGTGTGTGCGGCTGACGCGGGTGCCGGGGCCAGGCCGCAGGGAAACGGGGAGCTGACGGTGAGTGAACCCGGGCCTGCGGGCTGGTGGGTCCCGGGGGCGGGCGGGATGCGAGAGGGAGGCGGCCTCCCCTTCCCGGAGCTCGCCCAAGGAGGGCGGAAGGCACCCGCGTCTCTCCAACATCCCGCTACCGGACGACGAAACCCGACCTCTTTTGGGGACCTAACGAGGGGGTTGAGCCTCCTGCGGCCCACGTCCTGACCCCCAGGTTGGAAGGGGCTCCGCACGCAGGGGAGGGATCCCCAGACAGGGCCCAGGTCTGCAACTAAGTCAGGGCGCTCTCTTTCCAGGGTGGAACCTGGGGCTGCTCTTCCAGGGAGAGGAGCTGCCCGGAGGAGAAAGCGGGGTCAGGACCCACTTCAGACTGGGGATTAGGCTCTGACCTTGCTGACCTCGCAGGCTAACAGGGGAGCTGCCCCCCACCCAGAGCAGCATGGATGCCCCGCGAAGGGACATGGAGTTGCTCAGCAACAGCCTGGCGGCCTACGCACACATCCGTGGTAAGGGCGGCGGGGATAATGCACCCCTCCCTGCCCCTCTGAGGCCCCACTTCGTCCCTTCCCTCCCCACCCCTACCATTATAAACCCTCCCCATACCTAGCCAGTCACCTACTCCCAATTCCCCCCATCCCTCATTGCCTTTTATTGCCGGATAGCGGCTACCTAATGTCCTTCAAATAGAGTACTGTCCTTGTCCCTGAGACAGAACCTGTAGTCTTTTCGAGATGGAATGACTCCCACCCACCAGGGCCCCTCTGTGACTTCTGCTCTCTGACCTCCAGCTAACCCTGAGAGCTTTGGCCTCTACTTCGTGCTGGGCGTCTGTTTTGGCCTGCTGCTAACCCTGTGCCTGCTAGTCATCAGCATCTCCTGCGCGCCACGCCCGCGGCCTCGGGGCCCAGCGCAGCATCGAGACCCCCGCGGCAGCACCCTGGAGGCTGAGGACGTAGATGAGGAGGAGGAGGACACGGTGACGCGGCTGGGCCCTGATGATACGCTGCCTGGTCCCGAGCTGTCCACCGAGCCCGACGGGCCCCTGGGCGTCAACGTCTTCACGTCAGCGGAGGAGCTGGAGCGGGCACAGCGCCTGGAGGAGCGCGAACGGATCCTACGGGAGATCTGGCGCACCGGTCAGCCGGACCTGTTGGGCACCGGCACACTGGGGCCCAGTTCCACAACCTCAGGCACCCTGGGTCGCATGCACTATTACTGACCGGGCCACTCCCTCTGCAAGGCGCTCTGGATACTGGACATGCATTTGAGCTCACAGCTGCCCCAGGACCTTCGGACTGGCCCAGTCTGCGGTGCTATGGTGGCCCCGCCCCCACGGCTCCCACGGTGCTATTGGGCATGGATCCCCACCCTCTGGGAGGCACCCTTCCCCAGTCCAGCCAGAAGGCCCTGGGGGGAGGGCGGGACGCAGGGGCCCCCCTCTAGGGAGTGGTTAAAGGTGAAGTGACCAATGAAAGCTGCATTCTCAGTGACTCAGTCTCCCTCTGTTACCCCTGCCCCCAACGTACCCCAGGCTCCTGCCTTGCAGAGCTGAGAACCTACTGGACTCCTTTACCAAGCTGACCACCTCCATCACTCCGCCCTCATGCTTGCGTTCACTTCACTAACAGCAAAAACACTCCACCTCACCCATAGAACAAGTATCACTCGCATTCCTTATTCACAAATGCATTCCTTATCGGCAAACGCCTGGGCACATGTCCCTGTTCCTACAAATCTGGGTTCACACATCACTGCAAACACACATATACACACACACCTGTCCCTACAAATCTGGGTTCACGCATCACTGCAAACACACACACACTCTCTCTCTCTCTCTCTCCCCCACCCCCCTCCCTCCCTTCCTCCAGGCCTCGGGACCCTGACCTTGACGCTAAGGTGCTATTTGCTCCAGTGTAATGATGTGTGCCTGAACTGGGCTGTGGAATTGGTGTCTGAGCTGAGGTGCGTTCCTGTAAGCCCTTCCGGAAGGAACAGTGGGACAAATTGGGAGGGGTTCAGGCTCGAAAGCAGGGCTGCCGGGCCCCTCTGGCGCACAGCTGGATTCCAGAATCCGGGCTGCAGGCTGAGCCCAGGCAGAGCCCGACCCGCCTGGGCCCCTCCTGTCGGCAGGCATCCAAAGGAGACGCCCACCTTCCCCTCCCCCTGCCATCCGGTGGGTAAAAATAGCTGCGCGCAGGCCTTGGGAACTGTAATGGGAGCCACATGTTGGCCAGATGTGCCTGTGAGAGCCCGCCAGGAATGCGGAACGCTGGGGGCACCAGCCCGGCCCCGCCCCCGCCGCACAGGCCCCGCCCCAGCACGGACAAGGCAGGCGAGGCGCACGTGCACCGCAGTTTACTTTCTTGGGTTTCCCAAAGTCGTGTGCAGGACTTGGGTGGCCGGAGCCAGACCCCCCCTTCAGGCCCCGCCGTAGTCCCTCTTGGGTCCTCCCTCAGTGCGTCTGCGTCTGCGCGTGGCAGGAGGTCCTGGACTCCCGGTTCTTCTGCTTCATCTGAACCTAGTTGGGAGAGGGCGTCAGGGGAGGGCCAGCTACCGGCCCCCTCCCTGCCCGGGATCCGCACCCCACCCACCTCCAGCAACCAGCGCTTCTTCCTCTCGCTCTTCAGCTCCTCCCAGATGTCGGTCAGCTTCCTTCTGCGGATTCGAGAGCAAGGGGAAGGGGTGGGCCCGGCTGGCTTAGACCCCCGCCCTTCTTCCCCCAGCTCCTCCTCCACTTACTCCAGCTGCACTTCCATCAGCTCCAGCGCCCTCCTTAAAGACTCCACCTCGTCCTGTAGCCTCAGTATATCATCATCTCTGTCACTTTTGCTGTCCGTGGGATTTTGCGGGACCAGCGAATAGAGAGTGGGAGTCTCTTGAGGGTCTGGAGTTGGAGTGACAGGATGTAGATTCTTCTGAGCAGGTTCTACCTCTTTGGGGGAAACCTCCTCTTGGGGGGTAGTCTCTTCCTTCCCAGGTGCCTCCTCCAGGAGGGCGGTGGCCTCTTCCAGGGGATGGGCCTTCTCAAGGGCAGGCACGGACTCTGGCTTAACTTCAGACCGGAGTGCAGAGCTATCCGTCTTATCCAGGGGGTATTCCTTCATGCAGAGGCAGGGCTCCTCTGGCGTGTTGACCTCCTCTGGGGACCGAGGTTCACTGACCAGGAGAGACTTGCCTGTGGACAGCTTCCCTGCCCCGGGACAGAGGAGGTGGCGCTGAGTGTCGTCCCCAGCAGAGGCCTCTTCAGATAGCATCTGCTCCGGGGTCAAGGCCTTTTCTAGGGTAGAGGCCTCGTCCCCAGACAGGGCCACCTTTGGGCCAGGGGCTTCATCTTCAGGTGGGACACCTGGTGCAGAGGCTTTGTCCTCCAGAGTTGGGGTCTCCTCTGGGCTGGGGGCCTTATCCGGAGATGGGATCTTCTGTGGTTTGGGGGTCTTGCCCAGAGTAGGGGTTTTATTCACAGGAGATGCCTTTGCTCTGCTGCCCTGCTCCTGTGGTGATGGGGTTGAGGTCTCAGCGAAGGGGTCCCCTTGGCCTGGGATCCTTCACCCTCACACACCATACTCCTGGGAAGCAGACGCTGCCCAGTCTCCCACTCCACCACATTGCGGGCTTCTCACCTGACTGGTTATAGAGCGGTGCTGGGAAGCCTGGGTTCTGGATCGCTTTCTGCCAGGGTGGCTCGGACCTCTACTGAGGAGGCTGCCATTGGCACCTACGAGAACAGAACCTCAGGGGCCCACACCTAGCCCGACCCTGGGTCTCTCCCCATTTCTGTCCCTCCGTCCTCACCCCACTGATGTTTGCAGTGAGACTTACCAGAGTCTCGGGAGGGGCGCTTCTGACCATCTCCACCAGGTGTCCAAGATGGCCTACAACATATCGCATCAGACCCAGGGGATGGGGGGCAGGGAGCAGCATTTCCTTTGTACCCCCATCCTTCCCTCAACCCCACCTGCTCCTTACTTCACTTTGCTGGGCAAAGTGGGGGTTGTTATCAGCTTCTTGATGGTAGGGAGCGCTGTTTTGGGCATCATCTTTTTTGTTTCCTTAATAGGAGCTGGGGAGGAAGAGGGGAGTGTGGCGTTGGTTCACTCACTTATCCATCCATCTGAGAGTCGCTGGCCCTGTCCTCTGTTGTGCACAGGGACTAGGGACAGGAGGTGAATCCCATCTGACTCTGCCTCCTGGGAGCTCTGGGGAACCTGACCCCCCTCAGGCCACAGCGCCATAGGGAGCTATGGGAGACCCCAAAGAGTTGTCAAGGAAGGCTTTACGAGGGAGATGGCTCCAAATCCTGTCAGTTTTCTAGCTATGCTTTTCTAAGATCTGTCCCTGTTTAGGGCCATGACTGCTTCCCTGGCTCAGACTTCATCTCTGTCCTGAACCAGTTCATCCTCCCTTGAACTTCTTTGTCTCTTCTCTCTGAAGGTGACATCAGAGTGAATGCCTGAAGGCAGTCACAGTGACACAGTGACATTCATGACACAACACAGCCACTCTGGCATATGCACACATACTGAAATTTACTCACGCGCGTTATTACACAGATACATACACAAATCCCCAGATACCATGTCCTAGTGGGCAAGAGCATGGATCCTATAACCAGACACCAGGCTTTGAATGCCTGCTGCATGACTTGCCAGTTGTGTGAAAACTTGGGTAGGGAACTTAACCTCTCTGTGCCCCAATGTCCTCATCCATAAAACGTGGGTAACAAGGGTATACCTCTAACAGGGTTATTGTGAAGTTTGAGGGACTTCATCCATATGAGGTGCTTAGAAGAGTGTTTGACACATAGTCAAAGCTTGTTAAAATGTTCACTTTGACTTATGCTTCTTGTAGGATGGCTGATGAGGTGCTCTGTGGGGTCCTCCCATTAGAGAGCAATTATATCCTGCTTAGGGTACAATCTGGGGGCACTGCTGGACTTAAAAGGAGTAGGGGAGGGCCACAAAAAGGGAGAAACTGGGGTCAGAGGGTAGCACTACTATGGCTGCTGAGCCTGGGGCCTGTGATGAGGAGCAGGTGTCCCAGGTTCTGCTCCCTCAGCTCACCATGAGCCCAAAACTCAGGAGTTACACAGCAGTGAGACCCATGCACCACTTTCTTCCAGAGGGCTAGAGTGGTCTCTGATGGTTGGTGCCCTCTGGCTACGGACAGAAGTAGAAGTAGGTCTTCTCTGGAAGAAGTCTTCCCCTACTGAGGTGTGCATGACTCCCACAGATGGAGATCAAGTCATGAGCTTACACACGAAGATAATAAAACACATGAGAAGACAAGCCACTGAGAGCGGGGGTCAGCAGACACAACACACAGCAGATACTGGAACTGTGAGGTAGAAAACACAGCACAGCTCTGTATAAAATATTTGAAGACATAAAGGAAGAGCCTGCAACAAAGGGACCATCAGGAATAAACAGGCAGATTTGAAGAAAAAAAAAAGAAAGCTAAACTACTAGAGATGAAAAGTTTCACTCTTGAAATAAAATGCAGTGTGTAGGTTAAACAGCAGATTAAACATAGCCAAAAAGCTGAAGAGAGAATTAAATTAGTAAACTAGAAGTATAGTAAGACAATGAGTGAAAATTTTGAAAGCAAACGTTTAAAGGCACGGATAATAGAAGCAGAGCTTGACAATGGCTGAGTGAGGTAGTGGACAAATCCACACTCCACACAACTATAAAGCTAAACAAAAATGACAGAGCAACCATTTCAGGGCTCTAGAAATTGACCAAAGGCATGAGGTAATCTGAGAAGCATTTACGCTAGTGGTGTTCTTGCCTACCCGTCCCCCACACCCGCCTCCTCCCCGACCTTAGTCAATGCAGACTTCCTGCAGTGTGGGGCACTGTTAATGATCAGAAGCTTCATTGCCATGATTGAAGGGAGCTCAATCAACTTGGGGTGTAACCTTGGATTTGGGATGGTTTCATAGATATGACACCAAAACATAAGCAATAGAGAAAAAATAGATAAATGGGAACTTCATCAAAATTTAAAACTTCTGTGCATCAAAGAACACCATCAAGAAAGTAAAAAGACGGCCTTTGGAGCTCCTTCTTTTGCTCGGCCCGCTCCAAACTCTTTGGAGTGTACTTTCTCTTCTAATAATGGCCCTTAAACCATTCTCTACAGCTTGGGCCCGCTTCTATTTCTTTGAAGTGTACTTTTTCTTCTAATAAAGTGTCTTTTCACCACAAGAAAGAAAGAAAAAGAAGAAAGAAAGAAAGAAAGAAAGAAAGAAAGAAAGAAAGAAAGAAAGAAAGAAAGAAAGAAAACAACATAGAGAATAGGAAAAAAATATCTGCAAATCATATATCTGATAAGGGACTTTCATCTATTCTAGAATATATAAAGAACTCCTACAACACAATAGTAGTAAGACAAATAATCCAATTAACAAATAGGCAAAAGACCCAAATATAATAGATATTTCTCCAAAAGATATACAAATAGCTAATAAACATATAAAAAGATGTCCAATATCATTAGTCATCAGAGAAATGAAAAGTGAAATCACAATGAGCTACCACTTCATAGCCATTAGGATGATTATAATCAAGAGACAGATAATAACAAGTGTTGCTGAGGCTGTGGAGAAACTGGAACCCTTATACATTGCTAGTGGAAATATAAAATGGTGCAACCACTTTGGAAAACAACCTGACAGTTCTTCCCACAGTTGTAAACACAGTTATATCACCCAGCAATTCCTTTCTTAGGTTATACCCCCCAAAAATGGAAACATGTCCACATAAAAACTTGTACATGAAAGCCAAACAGTAGAAACAACTCAAATGTCCACCAACTAATGAACAGGTAAAACGTAGTATTGTACATTCATTCATACAATGGAATATTATTGGGCAATAAAAAGGAATAAAATATAACATGTACTACAAAATGGATGAACCTTAAAAATAGTATACAAGGTGAAAGAAACCCATTACAAAAGACCATATATTGTATGATATAATGTATATGAAATGTAAGCAAAAGTAGATTAGTGGTTGTGTAGGGCTGGTGGTGGGGAGAATGAGGATACATGATGCTAGAACAACTGACTGTCCCTATGGAAAAAGATTTAATTGGATCACTCCTTAAAATCAATGCTCTATATAGGGCCAGCTGAGTGGCTCACTTGGTTAACAGTTAGCTTAAGAGCGCGAGCTCTGAGCAACAGGGCCACCAGTTCGATTCCCACATGGGCCAGTGATGCTGCGCCTGAGCTGAGCTGCTGCTGAGCTACCAACAGGTGGCAGGATGGCTCAGCTGGTGAGAGCATGTGCTCCTAACAACAAGACTGCCTGTTCGATGGTGGGCAATGCCCGCCCACAACTAAGACTGAACTCAGCACCTTGAGCTGAGCTGCCACCCGGATGGCTCAGTGGACAGAGTGCGCGCTCGCTCTGAACAACAGGCTGCTGGTTCAATTCCTGCATGGGATGGTGGCTACGCCCACTCACAACTAAGATTGTAACACAGCAGTTTGAACTTAGAGGCCATGAGCTGCCGATAGGCAGCCAGATGGCGACTAGCGCCCTCCACAACAAAGGCTGAAGAACAACTTGGCTGGTCCCCGCCCCCAATTCCCCAATTA